ATAGTAAATTAACGGTAAGTTCCCCAAAATTAAATTCCGAGAAAATTTAAATAAATGGCCGAATTCCTTTTGTTTCTTTTCTCTTTTACCATTTTTAATTTTTTTCTATGTTTTTAATTTCATTGCCGGGAACATAAAATAACAAGGGTATTCCCCCTTGAATTAAATGCCGTAAAAAATAAAGAAATTAAGGGATATTATGTTTTTCCCTTCTCCCCTACTGGTCGTAATCCCTTTTTCCCATCTTTAATTATGGTACTAAAATGAGCAAAAAAAATTGAGGCTTCATTTCGGCCCCGCTCGCACCTAGTGCGGCCACTCATCTCGTCATCTTTGAGGGTTGCTCGTAAAGTTCAGCGCGCCTAAAACCAGGGGTGCCCTGAGCTCTCCTAATTTTTGCTGTCCGGTCAACCCGGAGCACCGTCAAAACACGGACTTGTCTCTAAGCCTAAGACCCAAAACCCCACATTTCAGGTGGCGCACTGCTTGTGGCCGCCTGACAGTTAGCCCGGACCACTTCTCGACGCCCCCGTCGAGCCCTACCCACTTACGTCAGACGAAGCGGACGAGCTTCAGGGTGATGGCCCGTAAAGGACGCCCACGTTGGCGTTCAATTGTCTTATGTTTCAGTCTGTTTTGAGTTGTAGGGCTAAGTAGATGCTTTTTGACTTTCCTTCCCCGCCGGGTTCTCGGCCTTAGTAAGATTCTCTCTTTTTTCTGTCGTTGGCCCGAGAAGGGTGCCATCCCGCCAGTTTGTCTAATGCGGACTCTCCGTTAGGCCCTCTTGAGCACGAATAACCATTTCTTCTTCCTTCCTAGAGCTAACCCTTTGACCTTTCTCTTCTCTATTCTTTTCCTTTTCTTGGAACTTTCCCCTGCCTCGAATTGCCTCAAGGGGGCTGCTTCCTCCATTCTGACTTTTCCTTTCCCTTTCGGGCTGGTTAGCGATAAAGCGGGCGCGGGCCTGGGCCTAAACAGCTTTAACCTAGCGCCTGCCACTGTGTCCTTTCACTTAGATCCATCCAATTCTGCTATCATATATGCACCCCAGTCGAGTGCCTCAACCACTCTATAAGGTCTCATCCATCTATTTGCGAGTTTTCCGGTCCAGGTTCTCTCCAGCGCTGCATCATAGAGAAGGACCATATCTCCTACGCTCACCCTTTCTTTCCTGATTCGCACGTTCTTATCCCATCTCTCTTTACCCTTATCCCTTTCTACCGCCAGACGATCGGCTGCTGTCATGAGGTTATCTTCCAACCCGTAGGCTATCTGTCTTGTTCGGGCAGCTAAGAGTTCCTCTCTGGACATTTCCTCTGCCCAGTCCAGCTGTCGACGTGAAACTCTATGGGAAGCGGACAATGTCGCCCAAACCACAAGGTGTACGGTGGGTATCCGGTACTAGTTCGGACCGTGACGTTCTCCGCCCATATTGCGTATCAAAAATATCGTGGCCAATCACTGTCCTTACCCTTGCACCACTTGGACAGTGATGCTATCAGAGTCTGGTGTCCCCTCTCTACTGGGGAGTTCGACTGTGGGTGATAGGCGGTGGCTATCGAAACTCTCGCCCCGGCTCTCCTGAACACGCTCTGAACCTCGTCGGCTAGGAATTCCGCCCCTCTGTCCATTACTATCTTGCTGACACAACCGTACCTAGATAAGTACTCTAGGACAAAGCTCTTTACTTCCTTTGCTGCCTTACTCCTTATAGGTCTACCGTCCACGAACCCAGTGAAATCGTCTCGTATGTTCACGACGTAGTTCATATTGCTTACCCCTTTCGGCATTTTCACTAGATCGATGTGTACCTTCTCTCCTGGTCTGGTCGGATAGGATGGATGAAGTGACTCTTTGTATTTCACAAGAGCTCTCTTCTGGCACTCTTCGCAGGTCCTACAATATCTCTCGACGTTCTTATACTGTCTTTCCCACCAGTACAGTCTGCGTACCTTTTCGTAGGTCCCTCTGACTCCTCTATGTCCTCCGACCACCCCGTCGTGAAGCTCCGCTACTATCGTTTGTCTCTCTTCAGGATCACAGACTACTCGTAAGGGCATCCCCGACCCTACTGGCTTTCGGAAAAGGTGGCCCGCTCTAAGGCAGTACTGGGCTGCTCGTCTCCGGATATCTAAATTTTGACTCTCCTCTCCCGTTAGGTGTAGCCCGATCGTTCGGTACTTGCCATCGTAAAGGTTAACCAGAAAACGCTCGGTGGGTCCTGGCTCCGCCATAGTCAGGGCCCCAACTACTATCGGGCGCTCGGCCTCAAGTGGAATGCGCGAAAGTCCATCTGCCATGGCATTTTTAGTGCCAGATATCCTCTCAACCGTGTAATCGTATAACCGAATTCGTATTAACCATCGGGCGATGGTCGGGTCCGTCAGACTAAAGTCCTTCTTGAGGACAGAGGCAACCGCGGTGGGGTCTACTCTCAAGATGAACCGTCGCCCATAGATATAGTGTCTGAACGTGTCTAGACACCGGAGAACAGCTAACACTTCCTTCTTGAATTGACTGTAGTTGCGCTCAGCCGTATTAAGTGTCATACTCTCAAATCTTAACGGTCTTTCCTTCCCTCCAGCGTCCTTCTGAGACAGCAAACCACCTACTGAACATGGTCCAGCATCCGTGGATAATATGAAGGGTCTCTCGGTCTCATCGTCAAAGAATGGTACGCCCAATACATGTCCTCCCTCTTTAAATTCGTCTTTAAGTTCTTGCATAGCGAGCTCCTGCGAAGAATCCCAGTAAAATTTTTCAGTCTTTCGAAGAAGTAACCTCAATGGCTCAGCCTTCTCCGCATACCCCCGTATGAATATACGCCAGAAACTGACCACTCCTAGAAACTGCCGGACCTCGGTTGGACTATGTAACGGTGACGGCCAGTTCAGAAGTTTGTCTAACTTCGCCGGATCTGCTCGGCGTCCTTTCGAGTCACAGATAAAGCCCAAGATCTTAATAGTCGAGACGGCCCATCGACTCTTTGTTCCGCTAACTGTTAAATTCGCATCGTCCAGCTGCTCGAGTACCGCGCAAATATCTGTTAGGTGCTGCTCGACGAATCTTCTAACTCCAGGTACAACCTCTGTCTCATCCCTGTCTACTGGCCCTTTTATAGGAAAGTCATCCAGAAAAACTTCAACCTTATCAGGGATGAAGTCCTTGAGGACGGCTACCATGACTCTCTAGAAAACGGCTACCCCATTTGTATTAGTCCCAATGGCGTACGCATAGCCGTGAGGTGCGTGTCCCTAGGATCAAGCGGTACCTCATCATAACCTGAGAACAGATCACAGACCGAATAAATCGACCTACCTGCGGCGCCTTGTGCCAGTAAATCGGCGTGTGGCACGGAGCCCACGTCTCGTATCGTCACCGCATTGACCTTCTGAAGGTCCTGGATCCATCGGATCTTGCCATTCGGCTTTCGTAGGAAGAACCATCGATTAGCATAAGTGCTATCAGACGGCTCCGCAACATGGAAAACCATCTTTTCTTTCAGGAAAGCGATAACTTCTTTCTTCTCCTTCTGGGCGTATTTCCATCCCCCGTCATTCCATGAACATGTGGTATCGTGTAAATCCTTGCTGGCTTAGCGTATCGAGGGTCAACCCTACCTCGCTCCGCGTCGCTGAAAGCTATTGCCTTATCACATGTCTTCAGAATTTTTATCACACGTTCTCGCTCCTGTGGGGTCAGATTTCCATCTCCGATGTCCATCCCTGCTATCCTCTCTTCCGTTAGGCGTTGTGACTCCTTTCTCTTTCTTTCTTTGATTCCTTTCGCGATCTCTTCTTCCGATATCCCTTCCAGTGGAGATCGCTCGCGGCTCACCGCCGCTGGCTTAACTTTTTGAGCTACTCGCTTGTGTCGCTTGGGTAGCCCCCCGTAGGGGGCCGTGCCCTTAAAAAAAGACACGGATACCACACCGCCAAATTCCTCATCTTTTTCCTCTGGGTACGAGTTGCCATCCACTATTAGCCGACTCCCTAAATCTTCCACCTCTATGATCCGACCTTCTTCCTCTGTGAGCAGTGGTCCATATTTCTTCTCGCAAAATCGCCCCGCGCGGCCGGAGATAGGTAACGACTTAATCTGATCACTGGGTCTCGCACCCACAGCGAGAGTTGCTCTGTTCCTCGGGTCCTGAGGCTCCACTGTCTCAATCATTACCCGCGTCCCGTCTGGCTTCCTAATGGACAATGTTTGGCTCCCATCAGGTCGCTCTATCGTCACTGCATGCACGTGGCTCAGCCACGTTCGACCCAAGAGCAGGTCAGAGCTGCAGTTCTTGACTGCAAAGACAGGCAGGGTCACTCGTACCCCTTGGACCTCTATGGCTGCCTTGTAACAAACCCCAGTGATCTGTTGCTTTCTCCCATCAACCGTCTCTATCTCGAATAGGTATGACCTATCGAGGCCCAGTCCAACCTGTACTGCCAGGTCCTCGTCTACGATGACAGTCTCACTGTCGTTATCGATCACAGCATCGAGTATCGCTCCATCGTTTATAATCGTCTTCACGGCCCCGCTACCAAGTATATAAAACTTGTCTGGAGGCACACCTTTCATTCCATCGAGAAGGACTGTCGCCATGCGATCCGCTCTGGCAGTCATCCCCGTTACTGCTACTGTAGGAGCTTCCGCCTTAGGGGCCCCCAGACCCTCCTCCGACAGAGGTATGCGAGTCTTCCGCGTGATCATTTGTAACTCATCACGAGCCGGCTTCGATGCCGCCAGGTACTCCAGAATAGAGCACTGCATGGGTTGCCGAAGGGCCCGCCTCAGTGGCTCGACCGTGTCAATCTCGTCCAGCGAACTCTTCATTAAGAACTTCTTCACTCCCCTCTTTCGCGGCGAAAGGATAACCTCCTCTCCATCAACCCGTTGCCCGTCCTTCTCCGTCATCACGTAGTCCGTGTCAGTCTTCTTCGATGTAGACACTCTCGCCGACTTGGTGGCTGCCACCCTTATGGGTATGGTCGCCATATCCCCCTCAAAGGTTATCTTGATGCTCTGGCTCCTGACCGGCGCCTTTTCTTTACTCGGCTTTACTCTCCTTGCTTCGACATTCTCCTTCATCGAAGGGAACATCGATACATCTCCCAGACCATCTGCCCACTTGACGTACTTGCGGTCATCAAKCACGACAAGTCCCTCATCTATTGCCCGTCTGAGGTCCGGACAATCCCTCTTGATATGATTTTCTCCTCTACAGTAGACGCATGAGTTCCTGGGAGTAGATGCCCTGTCGTCTGCGCCTCTAGAGATCGAACTCCTGGCCGCCTTGGGGTCAGGCGACTTGGGATATGGTTCTGATGAGACGCCATATCCCCCTCTCTCATTCCGACCGCGCGGATCGTTACGCCGGTCTCCTACAGACCCTCCTTGCTCATACCGCCCTCGCGAATCATTCCGGGGGTCCCCCAAGTCATATCGCCCTCGTGACTCATCGCGTCGGTTGCCTCGGTTGTACCACCCCCGCGACTCGTCGCGCTGCTCTCTCGCATCTCCCCCGTGCTCAAACCGTCTGGCGACCCATCTCGTCGTTCCCAGTCCCGATCTCCTCTTTCATACCTACCACCCCTGTAGCCATCTCGACCTGACCTCTCGTATCTGTCGTCCCTATATCCGTCTCGGTCCGATCTCTCGTATCTGTCGTCCCTATATCCGTCTCGGTCCGATCTCTCGTATCTGTCATCCCTATATCCATCTCGTCGGCCCTGATCTGTTTCCCATCGGCCGCGGGAGTCGCCTCTACCCCGATCGGCCTCATAGCGAGGGCTTTGCGGGTAATCATCCAGCCTCCTTGCTCGCGCAAACGGATCGCGATCTCTACGGTCTCGGTCTATCTCATCGTCCTTACGTCGCCATGGTTCATCGTCTCTCTCTCTTCCCCTCGTACGATAATCAGTCAGCGTCCGAGGATTTCTATCCTCGACACTCCTCCAGGAATCGTTGTTCCTACGGTCCCAGCGAAGTGAATAGGGCCCTCCAGGTTTGTCCCGGTAGGCCGTAGCCCATGTAGTGGTCACAATCTCTGTAACCTGTCCCGTCAATCCCTTCACCATGTCCCGTATCTCCTTCACTTCCTCTGCCACGGCCTCATTCTTCTCCGACCAGGGATAGTCCTTGAAATCAGGACATCTAT